CTATTCTTTTGCATTTAGTGAGACTTAAAGAATGTGGTTTCAGTCGGGCGGTGGTGCCGCAGGCCTTTTATCCCAGCACTCGGGAGGCAAAGGCAGGCAGATCTTTGTGAGTTCGAGGCCAACCTGGTCTACAGAGCGAGATCCAGGACAGGCTCCAAAACTCCACAGAGAAACCCTGTCTTGAAAAAAAAAATGTGGTTTCATGGGCTGTGGAGATGTGCATTCTGTTTCTGCTGAATAAAATATTCTGTATGTAATTGATAAGTCTATTTATTCTGTGGTATAGATTAACTCTGAGGTTTCTTTGTTGAATTTTACGTTAGATGTCCGTTAAAGACAAGAGTGGGGTTTTGCAGTCGTCCACTGTGGTTACATTAGCTTCTATTACTTTCCAATGTTCATTAGCGTTTTATGAAATAGGGAACCTCAAGGTTTGGTGCACATATGTTTACAGCTGTAGCTTCTTCATAAATTTTAATGGTTTTCTTCGTGTCTTTTCACAGATGTTAGTTTGACATCAGCTACCCCAATCTCTCTGTTGGCTTGTTTGAGCTGTCATTCACTTGATACATTGTTGCTGGGGGATGTCTTTTCATGAGCTGTGAATACATGTTGTTCCCATTGGTTAATAAAGAAGCGGCTTTGGCCTATGGCAAGGCAGCTTAGAGGCAGGTGGGAAATCCAAGGAGAAAGAAAGGAAGGAGAAAGGCGGAGTCTAGAGAGACACCTGTACCACCAGGAGAAGCAAGATGTGAAAGTACTGGTAAGCCACGGCTACACGGCAACTTGTAGATTAATAGAAATGGGTCAAGTTATAAGAGCTAGCTAGTAAGAAGCCTGAGTCATAGGCTATATAACTTACAATTAATATTAAGCCTCTGAGGGATATTAATATACTATAAGCAGCTGAGGGGCCACAGGACCAGGCACGACTGGAAAAACACAGATGTGGCTGCGTGGGACCTGAGAAAACTTCCGACTACACATTGTCACGAATGTTTTGATTCTCAGTCTATGGGTAAAGTGCATTTTGGGAGAATAAAAGACAATTGAACCTACTTCTTAGCCCATTAGCCAATCAGTGTGCTTTCGTTGGTATGTGGAGACCATTTCCGTCTGAGTCCATTGTTGAGAATGTTTACAGATCCTTGTAAATTCTGTTGGTTGTTTTTCTAGTTTTTTAGATTCTTGTTCATTCTTTTCTTTCTTCCCTGTTAGTTTTAAGGCTTTTCTGGTTTACTGTTTGGATATCACAGATTCCTTTCTAGTTTCTTTGTTTTTGTTTTTCAAGATACAATTTCTCTCTGTAGCCCTAGCCATCCTGGAACTCACTCTGTAGACCAGGCTGGCCTCGAACTCAAAGATTCACCTGCCTCTGCCTCCCGAGTGCTAGGAGACCGCCACCACTGCCTCTCTCGTAAAATGTGTTATTTCCTGTGCTCTCATGATGGAAGCAGTTCTTCTGTGTATAGTATTCCTTTAAGTGTCTTCTCCAGTGCTGGCTCGGGTGACCCATTGCTTAGTTTGTGCTTGTCTGGAAATGTGCTATTTCTCTGCCAACTGAAGGGCTAGCCTTGGTGGATGAGCAGTCTTGGTTGGCAGTTACGTGCTTTCTAGGCTTGGAAAGCACCTTCCGTGTTCTCCTGGCTCCCAGAGTTCTTAGCAGATCGCCCATTCCCCTGCATCCTGCTCAGCTATCCTTCCATTTTCCATGGGGATTTCTGAAGCACACTTTCTCTTCCTCTCTTCCTCTCTCTGGAATAGAGCCTACTTTTTCTCATCCTGACTCTCCTTCACTGGATCACATGGAGGAAGTTCTAGCCCCCCAGAATTTCCAAACAATGACATTCATAAAAGGAGAACAAGTGAGTGAGTAAATCTTGGCTAAATCTTTTTTTGGTGGTGGTGGTGGGGTAGTTTTATATATAGCTGTAGCTTCTTCATAAATTTTAATGGTTTTCTTTGTGCCTTTTCACAGATGTTAGTTTGACATAAGCTACTTGGAACTTCTTCAATCCTCCTGCCTCAGCTTTCTGAGTGCTTGAGTTATAGATATGCACCACCATGTCTGGCACTTGGTTGATTTTTATAACTCATTTTTCTTTTGAAATTTTATAAAAAATGTATGTAATTGAAAATATTTAGCTTTTTTTTGGCATGTATCCAACTAATCAGGACAGACATCAAACAAATAAAGAAGGATATCAATCATGTGGGGATGTGTTGGCTAAAGATCGCTAGCAATTGCTGGAGCAATGCACACATTGAAAAGCTTTGGAAGCAGTGCAAGTGAACGAGCAGCTAGCCTGGTAAAGGGCAGAGCCCTGATCCTCAGCACTTAGAATTTCCTAAAAACAAGGCTTGGAGAGGCTTAGTGTTTAGGGACCCTTGCTGCTCTTGCAGCTGACCCAGGTTCTGTTCCCAGCATGCACAGGGCAGCTCATAAACATGCCAGTAACTCCAGTTCCAAGGAATCTGGTGCCCTCTTTTGACCCACACAGGTACTGCACATATGTGATGCACATACACACACATAGACATACACATACACAGAAAGTACAAGTGAAGAAAATCTTTTTTTAAATTATCTAAAAACAAAACAAAAACAAGAGAGTGTAACTCAGGGTAACATTTAATCTGCTCAAAATAGCCCAAGCATACATAAACACATTTATGGATGTGTTTCAAAATCAATTTCTAATTGTCCAGAGTACCAATTTCCAGAAACTTAAATTAAAATGGTTCTTCTGCCCCTGGCCATGTACTGATACCCAGGTAATAAACTACAGGTTGACAAAGACTTCCTGAGTCATCAAAGCGTGACCCAAGCACGTTCTCTGTGGCACTAAGGACCAAGATCATTACTGTGAGCTTCCTTAGACATTGTTCATCATTAATGCTACTCAGTGTTCACTGAGCCAGAAGAAGGAATTTATGAGCAATCTTGTGTTGCTAGAGTTTTCCTGCCTGGCCCACAGTCAGGACAAATCTCTCTCACCCGCCAGTCCCAAGCCGCTCAAACCCGATCAAGTAAACACAGAGACTTATATTAGTTTCAAACTGTATGGCCGTGGCAGGCTTCTTGTTAACTGTTCTTACAGCTTAAATTAATCCATTTCTATTAATCTATACCTTGCCACGTGGCTTGTGGCTTACCGGTACTTTACATCTTCCTTGTCCTGATGGCGGCTGGCAGTGTCTCCCCTCTCCAGCTTCCTGTTCTCTCAATTTTCCTCTTTGTTAGTCCCGCCTATACTTCCTGCCTGGCCACTGCCAATCAGTGATTTATTCATTGACCAATCAGCAACACATTTGACATACAGACCATCCCACAGCAATCTTGATTCTCTGCCATGGCTAGAAAGCAGAGTCCCCTCCAGTATGAACTGGCAAAGTTTCAGCCCCACAAGAAAGAATGTAATGACAGAAAGTTTGGGCCCGAGACCTGTGCCTCTGTGCTTACCCTCTGCAGAGGGCACACAGATGTTTTTAGCTTTACTATGTGTCTCAAGGACGTTTCCAGGAGATGGATGGTCCCAAGTGACAAAGGCAATTTCCTTACAAAGAAATTGTGAGACCTGGTCTGGCTAATCTAAATGGTAAAATTAAAAATGGAGCAGAGGAAGGTCAGTCTTTGGTCCCAGTACCCTTGAAGTATAAAGAGACACAGCACCTTGGATGGTAGAATTTTAATCATTTAAACGAAAACCACAGTGATGGAAGAAAGCACCAGCTGATCATCTGTGGCTTCAGCGGGGTCTGCTCTGTGAAATCTGAGGTGGGGAGGGTGGAATACATGGCCTTGGCCTCGGGAGATCCTTCCCAGTAGGTTTCTGAGTTTGCAGTGAAAGGTGTCAGGAATGTTCCAGACCGTGATGTTAGGAAGGGTTCCTGCCAAGTGGTGGTGGTGCACACTTTTAATCCCAGCACTAAGGAGGCAGAGCAGGGGGATCTCTGAGTTCGAAACTAGCCAGGTCTACAGAGCAAGTTCCAGGACAGCCAGGACTATACACAGAAACCCTGTCTCAAAAAACAAAAAGAAACAAACCAAAACAAAAACCAGAAACAGGTTCCCTCGGGGAGAATTAGGGGTTCTGCCCTAGCATTCTCCGCTCATCTTCTCCAGACAAGGTCTCTCACTGAACCTGGAGCTAGGCTCAGCCAGCGAAGCCCAGGGGTCCTCTGGTCTCTGCCCCCACAGCACTGGGGCTCCAGGCATGCCTGTGCCCATGCTGTAGTTTTTGTGTGAGTGCTGGAGATTTGAACCCAGGTTCCTCATGCTTGCGTAACCAAGTGCTCTTAGCCACTGAACCATCTCCCCAGCCCTTAGCAGTGTTCTTTATAGAGAGCCTCTAAAGACTCGCATGGTGGCTCATGCCCATAGTCCCAACATTTGAGAAGGCAGGAGGGTCACTGCAAGTCTGAGGTCAGTGAGGTTTACAGAGAGAGTTCCAGGCCAGCTGGGACCCCTTGTGAGATCTTGTCTAAAGAAGGAAAATTGGAGGAGAGGAGGAGGTGAGGGGGAGGAGGGAGGAGGGAGAAGGGAGGAGGGAGGAGGGAGGAGGGAGAGAAAAGTAGTTGCATTGGGAACACATTATTTTCATCACATGCCCGACCCCTCAGCCCCCTAACGTAAGCACTAGGAAGGTTGAAGGGAGAGAATGGAGTGAAGCTCTCCTCAGTTTCTAATTTGTAGTTTTTGTTGCTCTGTTTACCTCACAGCCGGCAAGTCTGCCTTGACCACCAGTACTTGATAGACAGCTGGACATATCAGACTCTGGAGCAAACTCAGTCTGTGAGGGGGTCATTCTCATGACAATTTGATCAAGTGTCTTGCCACATGACTCCTCCTCAGTCTAAGATTTAGGAGATGCCGCCAGTCCAAAGAGCAGGACCTGGTGACCTGAAGTCTGGCTCACATGCTGCCCTTCCCCTCCCAGGCACACTGCCCCCACTCCCCCATTCCACTCCCACACCATACCACGTGTTTTCCTCCTGGCTCTCAAGGTGGCATCTCTCTCTTTTACTCTCTGCTTCAGGTGTCCAAAGAAGCTGAGAAACATCTAGAGAAAGGATGTTAGGCAAACTGTGTCACGTGCCAGGCACCCCACATTCTCCTGAAGTGTTTCTATGCCTGTCTGTGCAGATACTCCACTTCTTAGTCACATTTCTATCCCAAGAGCGCAGCCCAGTGCCCGACATGGGAGGTACTTAGCAAACGCTGGCCAGCGGATGACTATGGGTAAGAGAATCACAGAACTCAGTTTCCAAACTCAGTGAGACAAAAATGAAACACCTTTTGTGGAAGTTGAGTATTGAAGATGCTGATTACCTGCATCCTGATTTTGTTTCTGTAAGGGTGGGAGACGGTGATACATGCTGCAAGCCGCAGGAAAATGTAATGGAATTCAGCTACTATCATAAAAGCTACTACTTGGAAAGGTCAAGGACTTTTCCGGAGGTCAAGCCATGGCTTAAGAAGTCTTGGTGATATTTTAGCTTTTGTATATATGTATTAGCCGATTCCTGCAATGATTTTCTTGTATGCTATGTATGTTTCCAAGAACTCATAACAGTTTATTTTATCTGAAATACCTATCAAGCATCCAAGGCCAAACAATCTCCTGAATTAAGATACATTAAGCTCAGACCCCCCTTTCTTATACAGCCTTCGTGGTATTTATACTAACATTATAGACTCCTAACACTTACCTAACCACGTCTAGGAATGTAGTTTGAGCACAAAAATTCCCTTTTTCTGATATATTAACCGATTTTAGCTCTCAGTTTGACCTCCTCCTGTACCTCTCCCCTTTTGGGTTGTAAAAGAAAGCCTGAGGGTCACTGCCTGAGGAAAACTCTTGTCTGCGTTTATGACCCTGTAAGAATTCAAGCCTGGTGACCTTGCTTTAGCTAGATCACTGCTATTGCATGGGTATATAACTGTAAACCTCAGAGACGGAGGAGGATTCTGACTGAAGAACTAGAAGAATGAGATGGAGGATGAGGAAGAGCCAGATGGGGAAGAACGAGGTGAGAAAGACCAAGATGGGGCAGAACTGAGATGAGAGAATTAAGATAGAACAATGAGGGGACGGCAGATAAATGTAGAGAGAAATCAGGCAAGAAAGAGCTAGGCATGAGAACAGAACTGAAGCTGTGTAGAGAGAATCTTATCCCAGAGGAATAAAATAGACAGACTAAGAGCTCGGTGTACTTAGATTCTTTTCCCAAAAATAATTTACGCCATCCATAGCTTCTCTTCTGGGCCCCTGGGAAGAAGATTAAGGCTGGTCCTTAATAATATTTGAGAGATATAACAATAGACAGCAGTGGAAATGAGCCAGGCATGGAGGCACATCCCAGCATCTGGGAGATCACTGAGGCAAGTACACGGTGAGTTTAAGGCCAGCCTGGGCTACACAGCAAGACCCTCTCTCCTAAGAACAACAGAAAAAAGTGGGTGGAAAACTAATGGAGCTTCTGTTGGGTACTGTGAGAGCTAAAGTTACATTTTAAGTTAAAATTGCTATGCCTAAGAGATCCATGAAACAAAAACACCTCTGATCTGTAAGTCCCTTGTGCAAGGACAATTAGATCCTGAAATGCTGGAGGCTACTGATCATGGGAGAAAACAAGCCACATTTTCACTCCCCTAAACAAGTTTATTTGACCCATCTGCACCAGATGTGCTTGATCACATGTGGGTGGGAGGTTCACAGGCAGGAAATACATCAGGATGTATGCTTGCCCCTGATTGGACCTGATGAGAAATGCAATGAATTATAGGTTTTCCTTTTTAAGCTGCTGCAAACTGTGATTCGGGGACATTTCCTGGGAATCTGGGTATGGACCTGACCAGAGCCCATCCACCTAGCCAATATTTAATTAAAGCTTGTTTCAAATTTGATTTTAAACTATGGCAGTGGTCTTACTCTCCACTGGTGGGATTAACAGTACCCTCCCACTTCTCAGCCCTGATCTCATCCTTAGCTATTCCTGGAGGCCTCTGTCACATCTGAAGTCTTCATAGGCTTGCCTTTCCTTTGGCAGAAGCAGAAAGACTGCTGTGAGTTCAAGTCCAGATACTGAATTCCAGACCAAGCAAGTCTATAGGGCTACCCCACCTCAAAACAAAACAAACCAACAGCAAACCAATAAATAAAGATCAGCCAGGGCCTGAGGAGCAGAGGGTTTCTCTACCTGGAAATACACCCAGATCTCTTTTTCCCCAAATTCTTTTTTTTCAAGTGGACTCAATGGGGTTGAGAAGAAGTGCTGACATTACCTACAAAGCAGCCATTGGAATAGGTGAGTCAGTTTGTAACAGTCGTGACTGAAAGTCAAAGATCCACATTCCACAGGCTGGAAGAACTTGGGGGCCCCTGAAGGTTAAGATAAGGGAGAAGAGTCGAGGACACATGGGATGCAGGCAGTCACCCCAGCACCCCAGTCTCAAGTGACCCAAGATTCCAATCCCCAAACCAAGATCGAGCAGATGGATGTGGGACCAGAGAGACATGGGGAAGGAAAGTCTTGGCTGCCCAGTTGTTACTTCTGACTCTCATGTGTGCTGGAACCTGACCAAGACACTTCAGGGCCAAGATAAAAACAGTGAAGGCTCCCGTCCCAACCTGTGGACCTCTTTCTATGATGGTGGGCAAAGTTAGGAAATTCACATCTGCTGGGGTCTGATGATGGAGGAGTCTGAAGAATGACCATCATAAGCATACTGTGCTGTTGGTGATTATAATTCTATCACCAAAAATAAGAAAAAAGAAAAAATCTGTAGCTAAATGGTCTTATTAATTAAGAAACACAGAAACAATTGCAGAGTTAAAAGCCAAGAGGTCAGAGCTAGAAACCTTACCCTTCACTGGCGCTGTCCTTCCTCTCAGCAAAGAGACCTACTTCCTGTGTGTCTGTCTTTTTTATAGAGTTTCTGTTCTGCCTTCTCATTGGTTGTAAACCCAACCACATGACCTCCTAGTCACTGCCTGTCTGTACAGACCTCCAGGTCTTCTTTGGTTGGTATTGAGATTAAAGGCATGTGTCTCCAATGCTGGCTGTATCCTTGAACACACAGAGATCTACCTAGCTCTGCCTACCAAGTGCTGGGATTAAAGGTGTGCACCACCACCGTCACGCTCTTGCTATGACTCTAATAGCTCTGACCCCCAGGCAACTTTATCTATTAACATACAAATCACATTTTAGTACAAATAAAATATCACCACAAAAAGCTATGTGAGAGACACAGAAGGAAACATCTGTTTGATGTTGCAAAGTAGTCCTCGCACCCGGGCCTGACCACCAGACCTCCAGTCAAACCCCAGCTTCTGGCAAAATGTCTTCTCCGTCGTCTTTTCAAGTCCTCAAAGACGGGTCTCTCTTTGCAGATCAAAGTTGCAAGTATTACGCAAACATTATCTTTAGGTATTTTTAGAAAGGACTCCCCAGGTAGATAACTGTCTGAGGTTCTCCATCTTCACCTTCCCCACCCCCCAGGAGGGGTCCACAGGAAAGTCGGGGTGCTGCTGTTGTTTTCATCTAAATTGTTCTGTTACCCAGTATCCCACAGCACGCCACCTCCAGGAAGGGCGTGGATGTTAGATCTCAGACCATGAGAGGTTTGCAGTGGGATCTGTGAGCCTCAGTTCATCATGGGCAACAGTAGCCTTGGCCTTAGAACACAGTGAAAAGAACTCAGAGCTGGAAGATAGCCCAGTGAGCGACACAGACCGTGGAAAGCGGTCCTGTGCTGCAGGGCCACCTTCCTGGTTTGGGGCTTCAGACAGAAGAGGAACTCTGAAACATCCTGGCACTTAGTACTGAAGGATTTACATGTCAAGTTGTTAAGGGAGTTACAGCGGCAGATGGACAGTACTCTGTAAGAGTTCCTGAGCGTTATGGGCCATTCCTGCCCCTCCCCTACCCCATTTGGGTTTTGGTGTGTGAAGTAGCAAAAATACCACCACTTTACTGTAGAACTGCAGATTTCAAACACAATGGCGATTTCGTGGAGCTACACTGCTCGTGTCTCTCCGTGATGTGGAGGCTGTGTCTGTGTGAGGAGACATACTGATGGCATCTCTCTGTGGTGTGTGAGGCTGTGTTTGAGTGAGGCCCTACACTGAAGGCGTCTCTCTGTGGTATGGAGGCTGTGTTTGAGTGAGGCCCTACACTGATGGTGTCTCCCTGTGGTGTGGGGGCTGTGTCTGTATGAGCCATTACTTTTAGTTCCCTTCACAGCACCTAGAAAGCAAATAGTTATGAAATGAACAGAAGAAAGGTCGAATCAGGAAACATCGATTGACATCTGTTGACTGTCAATGTACATATTGGGGCGAGACACTGTGACACACAATTTTGTTTAATGTGATCTTGGATGGATGACCAGGAAGGTCACCTTGAGGAATTTAGTCTCTAGTTTAGGAGATGGGAGATGAAACAGGAGTGGAGGGAGGAGGTGAGTGATGGAAACAGCATAAAGCTCGCTGGTTCCTTTATCCCATAAGCAACAGTGAGCGGCTGCTGGGCAGCTGGGCTGAGGGCCTTCTGTTCTACTGAGGGAGAGAGCCCACGGCAAAGGAAGTGCGGGAAACAGGGTGACAGGCCAGGTGACAGGTGCTCTCAGGTCACCTACAACTTGATACAAAAAGAATTGCAGTTGAGAGTGAAAGGAAGAGCCAGCCTCACACAGGACTGCTGTGGGATAACGCTTCTGTACACTGTTTAATAAAATGCTGATTGGCCAGTAGCCAGGCAGGAAGAATAGGCAGGATAAGCAGACAAGGAGAATTCTGGGAAGAGGAAGGCTGAGTCAGGAGACGCCAGCCAGCCCTCCAGGGAGCAGCATGTAATGGCACACAGGTAAAGCCATGGAAAATGTGGCAACATATAGATTAACAGAAATGGGCTGAGTTTAAGTGTAGGAGCTAGTCAGTAGGAAGCCTGAGCTAATGGCCAAGCAGTTTTAATGAATATAAGCTTCTGTGAGTTTACTTGGATCTGAGCGGCTGCGGACCAAGCAGGACACAGGAAAACTTTCAGCTACACAGGACCATTAAGGAGACATTCAAAGGGATAGAATGTAACTTTGGAGTTGGAGGATGAAAGAAATTTAAATAAAAATGATCACTGGCACAGTATATATTGCACATACATGTCTACAAAACACACACATGCAAATGCACACTCATACCCAAAGAAGTGTTATATATTAGTTACTTTTCCATTGCTGTGATCAAACGCCATGACCAAAGCAACTTATGGACAGAAAAGTGTTTATCTGGGCTTAGGATCCAGGGGGATTGTGTCTGTAAAGAACGGGAGGTGTGCCGGGCGGTGGTGGCGCACGCCTTTAATCCCAGCACTCGGGAGACAGAGCCAGGCGGATCTCTGTGAGTTCGAGGCCAGCCTGGTCTACCAAGTGAGTTCCAGGAAAGGCGCAAAGCTACACAGAGAAACCCTGTCTCGAAAAACCAAAAAAAAAAAAAGAACAGAGGTGTGGCAGCAGGCAGACACGGTGACTGGAATAGGGAGCCAAGGGCTCACATCTCCAGCGCCACTCATGAAGCATAGAGGAGGAACAGGAAGTGGCACATGGCGTTATAACAGTGGCACACTTCCTCCAGCCAGGCTATACTACCTAGACCTCCCCACACAGCACCACCAACTGGGGACCAAGGGTTCAAATGCCTGGATTTATGGGGAACATTTCTCACTTGAACTACCATGTTCTGGATAACACATAAGCATAAGAGGCTAGAGAGGAAAAAATTAAGGAGATCACCAGGGACAGGGAAGAATCATTGGAAAGAAGTGTGTAGAAGAATTCCTATGGCCCACAGAGGGACTGGCATGCTTTACAGACGTAGAAACTCTCCAGCTAACTGAAGGCACTGGGGGGTCATAAGGAAGTTATTGGTTCACAGTGGGGCCAAATAAGTCAGCTGAATGCCAAGTTAAAGACTGCTCTGGAGGCACCTTCCTGACCAGCTTGAGCGGAGGGAGTCACAGCACTGAACTCTTCCTGGGGACCAATCCTCACCTCAGCAAACTCTAGCACTACTCAGAGCACTTGGAAGTATGTAGCATCCACCAATGTAAAGCTAACAGCATCCAGGAGTTCTAAAAAGTTACCAGGTAGAGGGCACATGCTATAATCCCAGGTCTTGGAAGGCAGAAGCAGGAGGGCCAGGATCCATCCTTGGCTACAGAGTGAGTTTGAGGTCAGCCCGGGCTACAGGAGACCCTGTTTCAATACTACCTCCTCCCTCCAAAAAATTATTAGGCAGGAAATAAACAGAAAATATGATCCGTAATCTGAAGGAAAAATATGATCCTATGGAATAGGCGGAGGTTAGTGATGGCATACAGGGCATGAAGCAAGGTCACAGCTACACTTTCTATGCTCAAAAGGGAGCCTGATAAAAGAAACAGAAAGTCTAAAAAAATGATCCAATTGAGACAGAGCAAAGATACATCATGTGATGAGAAAATCATGCTGGCTGGGATGGGAAGCAGACTGGACAACGAAGAGGTGAAAATCACAAGAGTTAAAACAAGAAAAATTCCAGAAGTGAGTCAGGGTGGAAACTGACCGAAGGAGGCAGGCGAGGACCACTCCCTGAGGTAGCTCAGAGTGGGGCGGCACACGTGTCACAGGAATGTCAGAAGCAGAGGCGACAGATGCTGTGGGCTGCGTTGTTTCTTCAGAATTCACGTTGGCATCCCAGACCTTAGAGAAAGAAGCCAGTCAGGAGCCTGGCCAAATGTCAGCAAAGGAAGTGTAACTCTGACCCCACACAGGAGTAAAAGGCTGCAGGTTCATGCATGGGGCTGGGACGGTGTGTGTGGAGGGGCACTGCTCTGCTCACCTTACAGATTCCAATCATGTGATGCTCACAGCCCTGTCGGGTGTATCGACAGTTACATCTCCATTTCATGGACAAGGAACCTGAGATCAGGGAGGCAAGGAATTTGCTGAAGGCCAATGCATTTACAGTCTGACTCAATGGGCCAAGAACAACATCTCCACTGCTCATGTTCCAGAAATACTGGGTGTTAAAATGCCTCCAAGTACCTATTAGAGCCTACAAATATCGTATAGGGAAAAGCATTGCAAAGGAGATAAACCACACTGAGAACGACAAGGGGCAGGGTTTACTCTGAAACGTGTGGATCCCCGTCCCCGATGTAGCAGTGACAGTCTTTAAGAGGTGGCCAAGTCCTTTGGAGGGAGCAATGCCTTTCCCGTGGGAGTGGTTCATTCTCATGAGAGCAGGCTACAAAAGGAGGCCGCCCTTATTCCTATGTCTCCTCACCACTCACTCTCCCTCTTGCCTTCCGGAAAGAGTTAATTATCACGAAGGTCTCTAAGAATCCAAGCAGAGGGGCTGGAGAGATGGCTCAGCAGTTAAGAGCTCTTCCAGAGGACCTGAGTTCAATTCCCAGCACCCACATGGTGGCTCACAACCACCTGTAATAAGATCTGGCGCCCTCTTCTGGCCTGCAGGGACACATGCAGGCAAAACACTGTATGTATAATAATAAATAAATCTTAAAAAAAAAAAAAAAAAAAAAAAAGAATCCGAGCAGAGAGTAGCCCATGTTCTTTGACTTGGTAGCCTCTAAAGAACTTTTCTTTATTAAATGAATCACCCAGTCTCAGATAATCTATTATAGTAACAGAAAACGGACGAGGACGAAAGTCCTAGGAAAATAGCGAGAAGTTAGACTAGCAGGGGACCCTGCTCGTGTAAGACCGTAACTCTCACACAAAAGAAAATGAAAATCCGTGACTTTTAAAACATGTTTGGTGGATGGCATGTATGTACCACAGCGCATGTGCGGATGTCAGAGGGTAACGCCGGGCATCAGTCTCTGCCTTCCATCTAGTTTGGGGACAGAGTATCTTTCCGGTTGGCTGCTGCTGGCTCCATCGCCCCAGCTGGCTGGCAAACTTCGGGACTCTCTTGACTCTGCCTCCCATCTTGCTGTAGAAGGGCTGCATCAGCTTCACGTGGATTCTGAGGATTCAAACTCCAGTCCTCAAGCTTGTGCGGGAAGCTCTGCACTCACTGAGCCATCTTCCTGGCCCCAGAAATCCTTTTACTGCTTCAGCACGCTTGGAGAAATGTTTGCTCTTCTGGAACTTTTCATGCCGTGGAGAGAACCAGCAATCTCTCTCTGCCTGTCCTCAGATTTGCCAGAACTCAGAAGGGACCCTCGAACTCCAGAGTATAAAACGCAGGCTTACAACACAGAGGCACACTACCCCCTCAGGACCAACAGCCTGGGCTCACTGAATGCAGCTGAGCTCCTCAGCGCGGTACTCAAGGCCACCCCAGCTACTCCACTCATTTGCCAGCACCAGCACCTCCATCCTTCCCTCACCAAACGACCATCTGTCCCTCGTCCTGACTTGTGTGTCCCGAGGCAGCTTTATCCTGTGTACCACCTTGTACCCAGCTGTCCCGTCAATCATCATCCAACCCTTCCCTCTGAGCTCATCCGACAACGAGCTGGTTCCTCCGGTAAGCAGATGACTCCCCAGTGTGCTTGGGGCTGCTTTATGTTTTCCCTTGTTGCCTCGGCTCACCGCTGGCTGCATCCTACAGAGGGGCGGAACCCAATCACAGACATGTCTGGATGTTCCCCAGAGACCAGGACGTCACCTGCCCTGAACTAGGCACTCCCTAACCACTCACTAAACTACAGTTTGCTTATTATATTTGTGACCTCTAACTCCTACAAGTCTTGGACCCCCCCAAAATCTCAAGTCTGCCATATCTTAAAAGACTCGTCAAGAGGGGCCCTGACAACCTTTCCTTGTGACTGAGTCTAGAACACAAAAACTCCCTCCTGGGAAATCCTTCCCATGCTCACTGTTTTTCCTCCAGCCCATACGAGAAGCTGATTTTCTTATTTGTTCCTTTCAAACTTTGGAGAGTTCCTGGTGGGCACCTGGTATAACATTCTCAGTAGGCCTTAGACCCTGGTCCTGGCGGGACTTGCCACCTCACTGTAACATTTGTCACAGGCTGGCATTGTCCTCTGCACACAACACCATAGAGCGGAAGCCCACACTCCAGGTTAATTAATCTCAGCCATCCTGAGATTATTTCCAGTCTTTACCATTACAGTAACCTTGTAGGGGGGTACATGAGGGTGCTGAATGTGTTGAATTGTGTGGATGTGTGCGGGTATTCATGTACATGTGTGTGAAAGAGACACACAGAGAGAAAGATGCACACAGAGTACAGAGATTTCTTTCTAAGGATTGAGGCTGCAAAATAAAATGTCAGTCCCATCTCGAGCTTAGTGAGCAGAAACTAAGCATTTGGGAACTTGATTAAGTCCTTGGAATAGTCTTCCAACAGCTGGATCCCCCGTCATTCCAGATCCGGGAAACTGATCAAAGACTCCAGGTCAGTCCTTGATGTGGTCACCTCGTTCTGGCCCAAAGCAACAGATGTTGAAAGACAGAGCATCGTCTCCCACTGACTCACGCTTGTTGGCGTTATTTGAAGATTCTCAAGGCTCACTTCCCCGACTCGGACCCAAAGAATCTACTCTGATCCACCCTATGGCAGGCTTTGGTTTTATGTTTGTGAATCAGGTGAAACTTTAACCACTGTGTTTTGTGTCACACCCGAAGATACACACACAGACACACATCTGCACATACCTGATGGTGTACTTCAAGCAGCTGGACGTGCCCTGCGTGCTTCTGGCCAGCCTCTTCCCAGCCAGTCCCTGAACTAGTCCTTTGTGCAGCAGATGGCGCTGTGGATCGCACGCTGCAAGACAATCTGAAGGTAGTTTTAGGGACTCTCCTGACCCCTAACTGCTTTTCTCCCAAAGCCTGGAGTTAGTCTCCTTTGATACACGTCCTTTTCTCTGAAATCTTTAAAACATTATTCATTCACCACAAGCCTGTGAATGGATCTTGAAATGTACGAACCGTCTAGCTACGTAGCCATCCATCCCCTCAGCAACCGCTCAGGACTTGCTTTGGCCCAGGTGTGAGTCTAAGTCCTAGGGATGGTGGATAGAGCACACAATCAAGGCACACACATTCAGAATTTTCAAATGGTGCAGCCAGACAACATAACATTCTCAACTGCTTGCTGTCCTCATATACTCAATTGAAAATAAGCAGGCTTTTTGTTTGGTTGGTTTTGGTTTTTGTTTGTTTGTTTGTTTTGTTTTGTTTTTCTAGACAAGCTTTCTCTGCATAGCCCTAGCTATCCTGGAACTCACTCTGTAGACTAGGCTGGCCTTGAACTCAAAGATTTGCCTACGTCTGCCTCCCAAGTGCTAGGATTAAAGGTGTGTGCCACCAACACCCAGGTAATCAGCAAGGTTTTAAGGGGCAAGCATTTTTGGGGAAGTGACATGTTGCATAGAGGCCTGACTTATACCACCTGGGTATGATTGGCATGGGTTGCCCTCATGCCAGGTTAACTGGCCTGCGAGTCTGGGTTCTGAGGGATTTGAGTTGTCCAGGTCCACAGCATGTGCAGGCCTGGGGTGAGGCCACTGACTGAGTAGCTAAGGGCCCCTTGATGATCTCAGAGCAAAGGCATCCAGGCCTTGCTGCTGCTGCTGTTGCTGCTACCGATGCAGCCCTGTAAATTGGGTAGCAGAGCTCGGTCAGCAGCTAGAAATGCCTTGTGCCCTGCCAGCCTGTGGTTGCTGAATCATCTCACTTGTTCCCTCTTTGGATTCATTCCCAAGGCCTGTTCAGGGGCTGTCCCAGCATCACCGAGAGAAGGAAAAGTCAGGTTTCGTTAGCAGACAAATTCAGCTGAAAGCCTCGGACTTGGAACTGCTACCCACCCCTGCCTCCTTCTTGTACCCGAACACCCTGCTTACTCATTACAAGAGGGCAGGGGAGTCGTGGTCCTTGAGACAGGAAAGGACACAGCTGTGGTTCCAGAGCCGGAAGGAGTCCAGGCCTGGGCCCGTCCATTCCTGCGTTCCGTGTGTCTTCTTTGGAGCATCCTCATCATTGGTGTCAGACAGAGATGACAGATGCAGCTGAGCCGCCTCAAGCATCTCCTCGTTGCTCTTTCAAGCAAGCTGGAGACACCCTGATTCTGGAGTGCTGACCAGAAGCAGGTGGCTGGCCACATCCGTCTGCCTCAGACTCAAAAACGCTCTGAGACTGATCTGACGCCCCAGACCAAGGACAGACATACTTCAATAAAGGAGCTCTTTCCCTTTAAGGTTTCTTTTCATTGTGTCTATGTATGTGTGTCTGTAAAGGGGTGAGGGCAGGAGCCCTCTGAGGCCACAAGAGGGCACTGGATCCCCTGGACCTGGGGTTACAGATGGTTGTGAGTCACCTGATGCTGGTCTGGGGAACCAGACATGGGTCCTCTGTGAGAGCAGTAAGTGTTCTTAACCACCGAGCCATCTGCCCAGCCCCTGGGGGAAGGAACACTTTGAAATGCCACCTCCTCATCATTTGTCCTGGTCCCCAAGGCCAGAGTTCTCTTTCGCTTTACTCAGCCACGGAAAATTTGAACCATAGATGACAGAGGAAGAATACTCCAGTGAAACTCAACGTGTAACGTCACCCAGCTCCCACGGCTGCAAACTGATGGCCAGCTGTCTGATGCTGCTCTTCACAAGCTCCGGCTCTACTGGACAGTCCGTTCCCCGTTTCTGCTAACTTCCGGAGGCTGCCACGTTCTCTGGTTGTGAGCTTTTCCTCGTCACCCTCACCTCTTCCTGCGATTGCTCCTTGCCCTGATACCCACTCTAGTCTCCTGCCTCCCAGTTATAAGGGCCCTTGTGATCACATGGTGCCTGCCCAGGTGCTTGGGATAAGCTCCCTATTCAACATCCTTAACTGAAACACATCTTTAAAGCTGATTTGACTCTATAGAGCTACACTCATGGGGTTAGGAGGCAGGCATCTTTGTGGCCACTTTGAGCATAGCCCAGGGGAGGGAAGATATCAGACATCCATGTAGGGGTGGTTGTCTGCATGTTACCCCTGAAGCACCGCCCCTAGTAGGCAGCAGGTAACTGCTAGGTACCTGCCCATCTCCAGTGCGTGGCCAAGGGGGGACCCCTTAAGATCTGGAATGCGGTATGTGCTCGCCCTCTTGGCTACCTTGTGGTCTTGGATACTGGATGCTGGTACTGCTGACCAAGGCAGAGCTCTCTAGAGAACCGAGTTAGATCACACCTCACCTTCCCTGGACCCGGCGACCAACTGCCTTTTGCTTGTAAGTTAACCCAGAATCAACCCTTTTGGCTATCAGACAGACTGCATGGGATTGCCTCATTACAGCCATGCTCACAACCACCTCACAATTGTGTCCTCTCTGAAGGTCCTGCTGGGTGAACAGCTGATAACAGGCGCTGTGCTCCAGGAAATCTATCGCTGACCATTAATTTCAGGTGAGGCATCTGGGAGCCAAAAAGCAAATAATATGTAGCTCTTTCCTCTCATGCATATGGGAATTCCTTAAAACTGTGAGCTTCCACTCTAGAAGTGTCCATCCAGCCACTAGCTAGGTGACTGGCTACATGAGGCCGGTCCTAGAAGATGTTCCATGACCTTGCTACTCTGCTTCAGTTAGGTCGACTTGGATCAGATCCAAGCCTTAAGACTCTTTCGTTAGTTGGAGACCACTAGTGCTGGGGTACTTGACTCCTTGTGTAAGAAGTTCAGCCGCCTTACTAGAAGGGAACTCGAGTACCGTGTCTTGCACAGTTTCAGGGTGGTAAAGAAAGACGGACAGACACAAGTAGAGAAAACCTGGGATCTGGCAGCCATGCTCTCTGCTGGAGCAGCACCAACCCCGAACCTCAGCGTTGTATTACGTACAGCGTGGTGGGAGGGGCTAGCGGGTCCGTCTCCGAGGGGAGCTGTAGTCATCCAAGAGGAGGAAGCTCTAGCTGCTCATTTTTTTTGCACACACCGCCAACATTCTCACTCAGAGAAAAGGAAGGCTTTGCCATGCCTCAGAGGCTCACAGAGGTGGGGGAGGGCTGGGGCGCCACTCCCTGCGGTCCTCGATGTGGCTGTGCTCCTGAGAACAGGGCACACTCACCCAGAGCCTCCTCTGTTCCCCACAGGAGAGACCCGGGGTTACTGAGAAAAGGGCCAAGTCAAGCGTAGAGTGCACCAACAACCTTCTGTTGTTGGGATAAAACTCCACCACCAAAAGCAACTCACGCTCAAGTTTATGTGGCTCACAGTCCCAGAGGAGGGAGGCCATTGTAAGGATTCGGTCCTTAATTATGTCATCAGCCTTCCACGGCGTCCCAGCCTAAAAAGCTGGTGGGCCCTCTGTGCACGCTCTGTCTCTCTCCTTTCCCATCCTTCCTCCCGTTGCCCTCCCCCTCTCTCTCCCCCCCTCTCTCCCTCCCTCTCTCCCCCCTCCCAATAAAGCTCTCAACAGGTAACCATGGCTGTGATTCTTTCAATCAGCACGCTCCTCCACCGCGACATGGCCGCTGCGGGCGGCAACCAGCCACGAGGAGCAGCACGTACCGTAACAACAGCCATAATGGTAAGGGGTCATGGCTGCTGACCGCCAGAGCAGGGAGCTGAGAGAGTATGTCTTCAACTGCAAACGCAAAGCAGAGAGTGAAATGGAAATGAAGCTGAGCTGTAAACCCTCTGAGCCAAACTTCCTCCACCAAGACTCATTTTCCGAAAGGTCCCATAACCTTCTCAGACAACGCCACCAACTGGGAACCGACTGTATAATTATGTGAGCCTGTGCTAGACCTTTCTCATTCTAACCACCACAGTGTTCTAGCTGTCCCTACCAGGTGTGTGAGCAAGACCAACTTGACCAGGCCAACTGCCAGATGGAGAATACTCCCAGTCCACATTGAGAGAGAGGAAAACCATCGTGGCAAGTTCTCTCAGAATTCTTGATTCACAGAGCAGTGAGTTACAGGAAAGTCACTACCGTATAAAGCCCTCTATTTTGGGGTTGGTTGTTATGCAGCGAATGGAACTGATTGGAGACTATTACATAGTACACTATGTGCTAGCTGCTTTCTGTAGGGTCTGGGGGCAGAAATCGAGGGGTGTCCAGCAGCAAGTCCAGGTCCATCTCACTAGATGGGTTGGCTCAGGACCTCTTCTCTCCCTGTGTGAAGGGCCAGCCAACCAGCTTGCCTCCACAGCAGGGACTGTGGACATGGGCAGTCTCAGAACCGCTCAGGGTGGCGAGCCAAGGTGAAGAACTTGGTTGTCTCAGCAATCCTGTCTCAGCACTGTGGTTACAGGGTATACATGGAGAACAGAAGCTCTCTGCTTGTGTTAGCATTGTCTCTAAGCATGGGTGTTAGTACGGGTCTGAGATAATTTGATTTTGCATCCTAACTCATTTTTAGTATTGAACAGAAGCAAGGCCGTGGGGATATTCTTTATTCTCCCTAGAGTTTGAGAGATAACATATTCCCTGCTAATGTATCACGCAGTTCATGTGTTATGTAATTTGTGGATGAGTTTGCTCCTCTCCTGTCCTGAAATGACCCTCCTGCCTCACACGCGGAGCATGCCTTGTCTACAGTGTGGTACAAATGTTTGTGACTGTATGTCAGCCTGTGACCACTTGTTTTAAACTATCGTCCTTCAGAAGCTTGGCCCAGCCTAACTCAAACGATGATGAAAGCGTTGGAGAGGAGTGAGGACACCTCTCTAGGGAAGACAGTTCCAACTACCACGGAGTGAAACTGGGCCCCGAAAACAGCCGGCATGCCCAGGGCCAGAAAGCTAGTGTTGAAGACATTTCTGGCTAGTCTTTGCATGGTAAAAAGTGTAAGAGGTTAGATGCTGCAATCCAAGGGCTTTCAGGACCCAAACAAAATCACCATATATGGAAATCTGTTCTTGAGCAACACACACACACACACACACACACACACACACACACACACAAGCTTGCATACACTCCTTTTTTGTATATTAAGATTCATTTTGTTTTTGTTTTGTTTTTCGAGACAGGGTTTCTCTGGGTAGTTTTGGTGCCTCTCCTGGATCTCACTCTGTAGACCAGGTTGTGTTGATATCCACACAGAAAGCCAGAGTGTCTGAAGTAGTAGCACATGGGTGTTAACGTGCTGGCTAACCCATAATGGGCCAGGGCAGAGGGAGGGCACTCATAGGGGCTTACAGGAGCCTGGGAAAGTGGGACACCACAACCACGGCAGGGGGTGAGGGGGGTGCAGGACACCACAGCCACGAGGCAGGGGGTGAGGGGGTGCAGGACACCACAGTCACGGCAGGGGGTGAGGGGTGCAGGACACCACAGCCACGAGGCAGGGAGGGGCAGGACAGACAGCTGTGCTTTTTTCTCATCTTTGGTAGGCCCTGACTGTGCTGTTAGACTTTCCTCCCCACAGCATGGAGTCACAGCTTCCTCGTGCCTGAAGTAGGCTGAGGATGCCACATGAGTCCCTCCTGCAGGTTTCCAACTAGAAGTCCAGGAGGGGTGGCTTGCACTAATCCTGAGAATTCAGTGTCCACCAGGAGACAGAGAGGCCTGATTCTTGCAGCATCACTGACCTCGGCTGTACAGATAACAGAGAGGGCCATGCTTGGAACTCAGGTAACAGTGGCAGACGCTCTCTGAGACCACACATGGTCAGCTCTGAACAGAGCTTTCTCTAAGTCTTGAAATGCTGAGTTCCAGGCTGTGCTGCTTTCCCAGTCTTCGGGTCCCATCTGGTGAGATTTTACCCATGAAGACTAGTCAACGGTTATAAAACGTGGGTCTAAGTGATGGGTCTCTGTTTCTACCCCCAGCCCATTTTTTGCAGCTGTTAGTCCAAGCAACCAGCTCCCCCAAATAAACTTGCCTTTTTACTTTGAACCAAAACTTTCACTTGAAGACAGATGAGACTGAGATGGTGACCTTTCTGGTTTGCGGAATTCTTTGGCTACATTATTTATTAGCCTGCAGGTGCAGCACAGTTCTACAGCGGATATTGAGAAGCCGAGGAAGAGAACGCTGGAGGAAGTGTATTTTTGTTCAGCAGTGGGGTGTCTTTAAGTCAGTCTTCCCATGGGGCAGCTGTGGGTCCTGCATTTGATTCTTGGACTTTGCAGTGGGTCTTGAATGTCAGGGGAACTGGAAAGAAGCGATTCAGCCTCACTTCCCTTCAGTGGGTTTTTGGTTAAACTTTTCCTAAATAATATTTTTATTAACTCCTTGAGAATTTCATATATTTTTTATCATAATTCATTCCCTCCTTTAACTCCTCCTAAATCCTCCCCCCATCTCCCTACCTTCTCAACTTCATGTTCTCTCTGTCTCTCTGTGTCTTTCTCTCTCTCTGTACGTGTATGTGTGTCCCTCTCTGTGTGTCCCTCTCTGGTTTTTTTGAGGCAGGGTCTCTCTGGGTAGCCCTTGCTGTCCTAGAACAGACCTGCCTTCCTCTGCCTCCCAGGACTAAAGGCACAGACCCCACACCCAGCTCTCTCTCTCTCTTGAGTCCCTCTGAGTCCAGTTAGTGTTGGTTGGTTACCAGACACGGGGCTGCCCGCCCCGCGGTGTTGTTGATATACCAGGATTCACAACTTTAAAAAGACTTGGCGTTCTTTCTTCCAGCAGCAATCAAATGCCAAAGCTCTGAAGAGTCAGGGGTGGGACTTCATGTCGCCTCCCCCTTCTAAGCTGAGACTTTGTCTGGCTGGAGCTCGCTCGGGTCTTGTCCACATTGTCACAATTCCTGTGAGGTCATTTCTGCATCTGCTCTGTTGTGTGGGGACAATGCTGCTTTCTTGTGTCACCCGCTACCTCTGGCTCTTACAAACCTTCTGTCCCGCTCTCAGTAGGTCCTGAGCCTCTGGTGGAGGGGTGTGCTACAGACATCCCACTTAGCGCTGAGCACTGACCAGTTATGGATCTCTGTTAATTACCATGTACTGCAAGAAGATTCTCTGCTGAGGGCTGTGGCCTCGGTGTTTTTAAGAGGTCACTTCATGGGCTGGAGAAACGGCTCAGTGGCTAAGGGCTCATCCAGAGGACCCAGATTCAGTTCCCAGCACCCATGTTAGGCAGTGACAATGACTTGTAACTCTAGCTCCAAAGACTCTGACATCTTTGATCTCTGAAGGTACCCACATACTCTTAGCATATATTCACACACACACACACACACACACACACACACACACACACGCACACGCACACGCGCACACACACACACACACACACACACACACACACACACACACACACACAGAGTCCTAAAAAGAGTCGAGAAAGGCAGACAGTGGATGGTAGGTTGGTATCTCAGAGTCAGAGAGATGCTTGCAGCCTAGGTGGATGTCACAGCCAACCGTGTCAAGGGTAGGTGGGAGCCCAGGCCTCCAGTCTTCTTTGTTGATGAAAGCTGTAAAAATTACTTGTGGGTTAAAAGGGAGCTAAAGTCAAGAGCAAACATCATTCTTACAGCCGTTGCAGAGCGGCAGACATTTTCTTCAGTGGTGCAGCCACGGAGGTTCCCGTACATAACCTCTTGCCCGTGCTTCTGTCAGCAACTCTAGTGAAACTCGCTGGTTCACAAACAAGCAAAAACATGAGAATAGAAAGAGGATGAGTTGAGCTGGGCGGTGGTGGCGCACACCTTTAATCCCAGCACTCGGCAGGCGGATCTCTGAGTTCAAGGCCAGCCTGGTCTACAGAGTGAGTTCCAGGAAAGGTGCCAAAGCTACATAGAGAAACCCTGTCTCGAAAAACCAAAAAAAAAAAAAAAAGAGAGAGAAAAGAAAAGAAAAAGAAAGAGGATGAATTGGGGAGAGGGAGGGGGTTAGCAGCAGGAGTGGGAAGTGATGAGGGACCCCAAAACTCACGCGGGGAGAGGAGAGAACCGAGGTCCACACGTTGTTCTCTGACCTCCACATGTGTGCTTGCTGTGGCATTTATGTACACAGACACATAAATAAATGCAATTTAAAATCGTAAAGAGGGACATTTGTGTCCATTCCCGTCTTCCATGGCTGCTGTCCAGTCACACGCACCAAGCAGTCCTGTCCCTACAAACCGCAGCCAGCTCTCATGGGGTGGCCGTTAATGTCTGCCAGCAGAGGTGGGGCTCTCTGCACAAGGTTCTGATGGGATGAAGTGCAGATGTGTCACAGGAAACAGCTGCAGGTGGTCTCTCTGGTAGACGCAGGAAGGAACAGATCTCAGCCGGCTGCTGCTGTCATTGTCACTGGTGTCACCACCCTTCAGAGATGGGGCTATCTATTCCACTCCCCACGCCCTTCCAGCACTGTGCCTGGTGCCCCAAACACGGAGATGTGACAGCTGTTTTCCCTCCCCTTGGATACGGACCTGGGCTTACCACCGCTGGAGCAGCGGTGAACAGTGGACAGGATGGATGCTAAGGACAGAGGAAAAGGTCTCAGCTTTCACCTGGAGCTCACACTGCTT